AACACAATGCATATTAAGTGAGAGTCTCCACTTAACTCACTAGCAGATTTTTTCCATAAGACAAAAAAAAAATTCGTGTGAATGGGATCTCTTTCAAGAATCCCATTCAGTCAGTTTTCAAGACGATTCTAGCGGAAAATTTTGCAAATTTGTTCAACTGATTCAAATAACTTCTTCGATCACTCATTCACGACAATTTCACAAGAATACGTTAAAATTTAGCAGAAGTGTCAGTTCAGATCGGTCAATCTGAAATTTGCAACTGTCGATGAATCAAATAATGCATTGCCAAAATGAAAATCTTCGATCTAACGCAAACTGTGTTTGAAAAAAATTTAATATTATTAGGATCACAAAGAAATTTTTCGATGAAACGACAATGATGATGGATAAATTTGCAGTTCTTTTTTCTTTGGCGTCTCGGAAACATTTTTTTCGGGCAGCTATTGGTCAGTGATCGTGACGTATGTTTCGTTGAGTGTCACCAAATTGTATTCTGTTTGGAAACCATTCAACTATCGTTTGTTTTGCACGATGAAACGTTGCCTTCATATCATCGCGTTCAGGTTCGTTACATTTTGCACTGGAGTATTCTCCTACTGCCCGATCGGATAGCTTTCTTCATCGTTTTGATGTGCTCAATTCTGTTTTTGAAACGGAACTGGTTTCAAATTTTATTTAAGCTCGTAGATACCCGTAGAAAGTGTTCAATTCCTAACGAACTCACTCAATGTTGAGCAGCCTTTTAATACATCAATCTTATGTGTACGAAATATGCGAATACCACGAAATCAAATGTGCACATTGATGATTCAGTAGCCTCTCACCAAATGGAATTCAAGTTTTGCTTACAATTAGTAACTCAGTTGCGTGATTCGACTGAACGTATGCATTATTTAAGAAAAGGAATAGCCGTGAATAGATTACGACTAAATATGTGTGATGAAATGTTTTGAAGCTGGATAATCTTCATTCTTGCGGTTGCATGTGCAGTGATTGTGATCGCGATGATTGAAGTGCGTTGGCTGAACGAATGGTCAAGCTGCAAGTACGAAACTTGCTTTCAACTCATGCAAAACATCAAATTCGTTATTGCTATTCTCACATTCTTCTTCACAATTATCATATTCATATTCACCGGTTCGCTTTACAAAACTGAGTTATTTAGCGTAATGAATGAACATTCATTCCAATGTATTTCGCTCTTTTAATAATACATGACATCAATTTGAACAGAAAAAAATCCACTATGACAAATGCATTTTTTGTACTATAAAGTTGATTTTCCCGTCATGCACCGGAACTTTGTTCTGTTGCAATCAAACTTCTCAGTGATGTGATCCATCAATGAACTTTGGAACAGTGAAATTTTTGAAACCTCTCACTTATCAGATTTCTTCAAACAACTTTTGACATCATATATGTCATGTTAGGCCGTTCCAATACTTTGTTCTTTTCAGTTGCACTAGTCAAAAAGTCACAAAAATTTATCAGCTCCTTCAAATTGCCAAATCGAAATGACAGTCGATCGAGTGTGCAATATACATTAGCGAAGCTGTCACCAAATATAGCGACGTTCGCTTTCTTCACATTCCCGTACATTATTTGGAGTTTCGCTTTATTGTTCGTCGGAGACCGCTGCTATGTGTTCAATAATCTCGCTGATTTGCTGCGATTTCTTGGAATTATAAGGTTTGTGCTGCTTCTTAAATAAGGCACATCGTTTCACATTTTTGCATTTTCTTGACACTCTCTTTGACGACTCTCTGCAGCGCACTTTTCACAATTCGAACAAAATTGATTCCGAGCTGAAAAAGCGCAAAACGAACAATTCATTCGCCGAAGTGATTGCGTAAAGGGCAATGGTCATGACGGTGTGTGGTTGGTGGGGTAATTTGAAGATCGGCAAGGGAATGCTGGCGGTGGTAACAATTTTGGGAACCAGTAACTCACGCAACTGAATATTTCCGCTTTCTTTTCATTTTGCCGAACAACACGGAAGCCGTTCAGTCAACCTCCTTATCGTGCAAAATTCAACTAAAAAAAACGTGGTAAATATCGTCAATCAGGGTCACAAATCTCTACCATTCGGAGTTGTCTAACACGTTATCTAGAAATAATCAATTACGAATGAAATTCTCAAGAACCTATGCGACCAAAAACAGATTTATGAGTCGTGTGTGCGGCAATCTCTACCAACCCAAACCAGCCAGCTTGCTAATCCTGCTCAGATCTCATTGATCAGATCAATCTATCGTGCATAACTAAATATTGTGGTGTAAATTTTCAGGCTTTTCCTCCTACTCAGAATATTGGTCGATCCAATTGTGAGCTTTATCATGGAACGTCAGGTGAGTTCAGTGACTGAATTGTTGTATTGAGCACTGTAATGTGGCTCCGAGTTGGTGAAAATAGAGCGATGAGTCTGAAAGAGGCAACTCCTCCAACTGTGAACGTCATTCAATTTATGATTTATTGAAAATTCACGCTCTTAGCATTGCCCTCAAACATTTACATTCAATTACGGTTCAGTGTTCTGTTTTCTACCTATACCATATCTCATCGCCTTGAAGAGGGTTTCTCAACCGAGGGTGCTTGCATCCTCGAGGGGTCCGAGATGGTATTCCAGGGTTTGCGCGATAAGGTTTCATTTGTCGTAGGTTTAAGTAGGCGAAGACGGAGTTCAACGCATACACGTGTTTGAATTAGGCGAGAGTGCACTTCAACGTATATATTTTTGAAAAAGCTACAACATGCTCTAATGATATGCACTTAACTACACTGTATTGGATGAGAGATACAGAACGAATGTTGTGAAGGATGCGAGCAAATTTTAAGATTTTTGAGAGGATGCAGCGGGGAAAAATTGAGAACCATTAATATAGAAATAATGAATTACGAGTGAAGAATAACTTGCGTCTATTGCAAGTCCCTATTATTCCATATCGTTGCGATATCGAAGTGATCAGCGTTTCAGATAAGGATGGGTGGACTTTACTGGTACCAAAGAATGTTGCATCCAGGAGTGCGACACCGTTCCAGGAGGACTATTGCTCCTGAAGCAGCAATTAAGAGTCCGAGGTAAATCCAACTGAACTATTTCAAAGAAATTCATTGGCTTGCTATGTGAATCGGCATCGACTGTTCTCGTAGCTATTGCGTTTCAATGAGGTGGTGCTTTGCTCGCGTAACGACATCGAATATGCTTTCAGAAAACCAACTGAAACAACTGAAAGACGCATAACTGAACTGTGATCTCTGTCTTGCTCAATATTGTTTAGTCATCACTCTGACAAAAGCACCTGTATAAAAAGTTTCTGTGAGGTCCGTTTCGTGTGCACAAATATGCGCATACCTGACGAGTCTCAACACCTGCACGTACCTCATCATTTCTGTGAATGCCCAATTGTTACGAATGGTATTATTCTCATTGCATCCATCAAATATAAAAACACTTCCCTTCACAACATTCGATTACATATCACTTGCAGATAACCGATCTTTTGTTGATCTTTCGAAAAGGAACAACGTCACCCGGAACAATCCATTTCAAGTGAAAAGACAGACATCTATCTTGTCATCAGCACTGGCGTTCGGCAATTTATTCGCTCGAAAGCAAAAATTTAATGGTGGATATGC